CTGTTTCCAACATATGGTAGCAAAACACATACTCATAAAAGAGTTAACATTGCTCCATGTCTGGCATCACTTGGTAGTGTCAGTTCTTCTAATTTTTGCCATTCTAAGCAGTATGTAATGATATCACATTCTATTTTTCTCTATTTACTATTGAAGCTGAGCACAGTACAGGTCTGTTTGTATAAGATTTCATAGGGATAGATAAAGGTATTCTCATATTATAAGCATATTTTTTTGACCTGAAAATACACACACAAGAGTTCACACTAATTATTTGGGGAGAACAAACTGGTGTGGGAAAGAAGATAACCTTTACTTTATAATTTCCAGTGTAACCTGAACTTGCTTTCTATATCAATGTGCTACTTTTATTTTAAAATATATAAATTAAAAAACTGAAGTTCAAAATTATTTTAAAGCTCATATATATTCAAATAAACACATAAGATTGATAAACAACCTTTCAGCTGCCACCAGCCAAGTCTTTTGCTGGAAAAATACACTAGGAGTCTCATGTCCAATACAGTAGTTACTAGCCACATGTGGATACTGAGCCCTTGGAAATTGGAGAATGCCACATGTTGAAATTTTATGTTTGAAATAGCTGGTTAAATAAAATATATTATTTAAATTAACTTCCCCTGCTTGTGAATTTTGATGTAGCTTCTAGAAAAGTTTAAATTACATGCGTGGCTCAAAATACATTTCTATTGACAAAATATATTTCTGTTGCAGTAGAATCTACTTAGTGACCTGAGAAAAACATGACTAAGGAAGGTTCAAAAGAAAAAAACAAAATGACGCAAAGCATAAATATACTTCACTTAGGCAAACACAGAGTTATTTCTAGATATGCCCCAAACACCATAGCTTACTTGTATAAATCTTATTCAAATAACAACTTGAAGTCAGGAGCACGATCATAATTCTCATCCACTCTTCATAGTTCCTACATTTGCCTGTAGACAAAATAATGGAAAGAAGATGGTCCAAACAAGAGACAATGTTCTTGGTGACTTGGATTCCCTCATTCCTGCAGTTAACATTCCACGAACGCCCACAACAGGTCAGGACCTGCATGAGGCACCACCAACAAAAAGAAAGGACACGAGTTAACAAAAACAGGCCTTCCTTCTCCACCCCCATTCAGCCAAGCAACATTCTCCATGTCCTATGGAACGCACCCCACTTTCAGCCACCACTTCGCAAAGCATGCATTTAAATGCGGGAACATTCCCTGGATGATCTAGTCTATGCACAGCAGTAGAGGAAACACTAAACACGCACTATGGAGCATAAATTAATGGACTTTGCCTATATGGTTCATGGATATTTGTTGTAATCATTATCACAGTTTCTTGGGAACAGTGCTCTTGGGGGGATCCAGGCTTGCTGGAGCTTATTTTCACGGCTGGGAATGCGAAGAAGAAGATGTGCTGCAGAACCCAGCTGCTGTGCTCTAGCTGACACTGAACTGCAGCAGCACTTGCTGTGCGCGTTACGGCTGCTGTCAGGGGAGGGAGCTGTATGCAGAGCACTGCTGGGCTGTCAGCTGCAGCGACCGAAGGCTTTGGTGCAGGATTTTGGTGATGGCTGACATGCAGGCAGATGTTGGGAGGAAAGTGACCACAAGAAGCAAGGCACAAGGTAAGTATATGTAAAATAATGGTAGAAGTCAAGAGATTTTCAAAACAACGAAGTAGCTGTTGGTGGGGAATACTGAGGTCTCTGAAGGTTTTTAACATTTTAATTCTCCTCCATCTAATTTGTAGCTTCAATTTCGCTCTCTCTCTCTCCCTCTCTCCCTCTTTCTGTCTCTCTCTGGCTCTGTCTCTTCAACCTCCTCTCTCTCTCAGATACACGCATAAACATACCTCCTGAAGGACATCTAAATAAGTAGTTGTTGATATGCCATATATTTGTACAAGTTTTCTGCTTGTAATTTCAATCTCTTTTTCTAGTAATATACCCTGGAATGAAAGAAGCTGTCAGAATTCCTCCTACTTTAAGACTCTTTAAAGGAAAAAACCATTATGGACTATTAAAAGTTTGCATTATGCATAAGAGATCAGGCAAATGCCTAAAGACAAAGCACAAAAAACACAATACTTCAAAGAACTCCATTCCGCTTAACTTAGTCCCACCTGAAGAAAATAAATAAGGCTGAAAATTTAGGAAGAACTTTTATACACAAATTAAACTTTTGCTTCTGCCTTGGGCTTTACAATCCACTGATTATGGGGTGCCATTTGTCCCGTGGAGTCTGTGCATAGGATTCTAAATGAGGAGTCTTTTCCATGTCATCTCAGTGAATGGGGACCTCTCTAGATCTGCTCCAGAACCAGCTTTATCTTAGTTTCACAGATTCTTCTCTGTATCCAGGAATTCTTTTCCTTTTCTTCTAATCCTTTGGATCAGTATCTTTTTAAATATGCAGAATGAGTGGGGGTAAGAAATGCACCTTTTATTTATTTTTTTAAAGATTTTGTTTATTTGACAGAGATAGATCACAAGTAGGCAGAGAGGCAGGCAGAGAGAGAGAGAGGGAAGCAGGCTCCCTGCTGAGCTGAGAGCCCGATGCGGTACTCGATCCCAGGACCCTGAGATCATGACCTGAGCCGAAGGCAGAGGCTTAACCCACTGAGCCACCCAGGCGCCCAGAAATCCACCTTTTATTAACAGCTAAGAGGCATGATCCAGTTTACTATCCTTTCATTATTTAAGAAAAAATATCTTACTGGTATTATTTTCCTTTTTTAAAGGAACAGAAGAAAGGAAAATTAGATGTGTATGAAACAAGGAATTGCTCTTTTGAATGATGCATTATTGATTCCAGTTAGTTTCACTTTTCAGAGAGAGAATAAGTTACACCATTTTATTTTCAAGAGGTTGTAACTTACTCTTAGTTTTAAAAAATAAAAAGAATATTGCAATCCTATATTGTGACACTCCATTGGCATAGTGGAGGCCATATCATTACAGCTGAGTATACTCTATAATGCTATGCACATAGTAAGTAGTTAATACCTGTTTATTGGATGAATGAATAAAGCATTGCCTCAAAAGGACAGATTTGAATAAGTTTGTAAAGAAATGCACTTTGATAGAAAATTCACAAAGTATGGATAAATGGCTACAGAAGTAGGAGGTACACATTCCTAGAAAAGAACATTCCCCAAGTTTACATTAATAATGTTATTGTTCTAGCCAGTTATTCAAAAAATTTGTTATTAATTAATCTTACATGATATGGTATGATGGGAATAGCTGAAAACACAAATACATGCAACAAAAGTGTTCACATTACTTAGTTAAAATGTAGTTCAGACTTCTAGATGCTGACTTCTTATATATCAATATTTTGGAGTCCCTAGTTAATTCCCCCCTCTACTAACCACACCAGTGTTAGAAGGACTATGTGGAAATGGGAGCACTTACCAATTATTGTTGGGAATGTAAATTGGTACAAGCACACTAGAGGTCAATTCTCCAATGATCTTTAGTGATACTTAGTAATTTCTTAGTATTTGCTTAGTACTTGGTAAATTCTGCAATGATTCTTAGTAAAAATTAGAATCTTCATACTCCATAAGCCAGCATTTTCATTTCTTGATATATACCTTCAAAAGACTGCCATACATGTGCATAAAAACCATTGTCTTATATCATGGAAATAATCAAAATTCCCATTAAAAGGATGGTGGCCAAAAATGTAATAATACAAAATGTAATAAAATGTATATGCATAGTATCCATAAAAAGCAATAACATTCATTATAATACATGATATAATATATGATATAATACATGAATTTATATAAATATTACTGAAATTAATTCCAAAACATATTTTATTCACTTGAAATTATGTTTTCTAAAATTCATTATAATACATGAAGTTACATTTGCTTTTAACCACTCCCTTTTAACATTTGGTTAAATGCTGGGCCTTTGGAAAGAAAAAACAGTGTCTGTGCTGTTTTGGGGAGGACAGAGAGAGAAAGAGTGAAGAAAGAAATGGGCAGTCCCTACACTACACCAGGTTAAATGACCTGGAAGTTCTTCCTTACCGGTTAAATATTGAAAGATTCCAGGAGTCAGTCATATGGCCATATCCACATACATGGATGGTTGGCTGTACAGGCCAAAATACATGTTTAATTCACTCAGATTCTCATTCCAAAATGGTGCTCTATGGAAAATCAAATTTAATTTGTCCATTATGGCCATAAATTAAAATACCAAGTTTGATAGTGTTAAAGCAACTTAGTTTCTTTGGAATAATGTTTCTTCAAATGCCCATAAAAAATAGTAAGAAATCTAGGAAACATATAATTTAATTAAAATACTAATCATATTGGGACACTTGGGTGCCTCAGTCAATTTAGCCTCCAACTCTTGATTTTGTCTTAGGTCATGATCCCTGGGTCTTGAGACCTAGCCCCTCTCAGCTGGGAGTCTGCTTGACAGTGTGCGTTCTCTCTCTCTCTCTCTCTCTCAAATAAAGAAATCTTTAACAAATAATTATATTTATTCACCTTTTCTGCAAAATGACAAGTCAGGTAATGGCAGTTCTTCAACCCCAAATACTTCTAAACAGCCACAACAATAAAAAGAAATATCTCTTTGCCAATAAGAACATAAACTTTTGGCTGTCAACAAGCTGTGAGGCTGACTACAATTTTTCATCATGCTCTATGGCTTATCAGGTCACTTAGCTATTTTTAGAAGTAGACAGTGTTACTTATAATGCAGCGTATCTCGAAAGTTCAACCTTTGCAAATCATGCCATCCAGGGCAATTGTCTTAGAAGCAAAATCTCCATGGCTACCTGGTCACCTGCATTTAGGAAGATGAGCTGTCGAGTCAAGGCAATAATGCTTTCTCTTCCCCCCCAGTATACAATTGTAGTTAAATATCACCTGTATCTTTCCATTAACTTTCTGAGGTTATTGAAGGTTTGTATTTTCATATGTCTCTGACTGAACAAATTTAATTAAAAATGAAATTATAGATTTACTTATTACACAAATCACAAGGAATAATTCTCTTCTTGCTTCTTTGCTTTTGGGGGAGAGAATGTGAAGAAATCCTGAGAGAGAAATAATATTAAAGCTCATTTTCAAAATATAAAATATTGTGTTTATAACTGTCAGAAACTTACAGAGGTTGGAATAATGTATCATAGACTCTGGCCCAGGAGATTTCTAGAAACTAGAAAAATAGAGTATTTCTGATATAATAGTGAAAGCAAGGGCATATATATATATATATATATATTCATTCAAAGAAATATTAAGAAAACAGTAACTACATGAATACAAGACTCTTAAAATGAGTATTGCATATTTTCCTTTCCTCTTTTTATTATTTTCATATTGTTCCTTCAGACATCAAGAGTATGATGATTTGAGTAGCGTTTACCTTTGCTGATAGCTTCGTCTCCCCCTGTTGTCCGAAGTGATAAAATACATCACTCTGGATTCAGTACGGCACTCACTTCCTCTGTTATTTGTAAGCTGACATGAAGTAGACAGACACCTTCTGAAGTTTTTATGCATGCTGTGTTTTTTCTCCTTGCTGCAACAAGAAAAGCCTTTTCTTTTAACCCAGCTGCCTTTGAAGAAGTGACTCAAACATCTTCATGGCCTCTAAAGGTAAGAGTAAATATAGTTAGCTAATAAATTTTTCCTTATTTATGACTAAAAGTACTCAGTTGTAGGGATTTTATAATCAGTGAGGTTGACACTTTGAAATCTGTCATTTATCAATTTTGAAGACTGGAATTTTTAACTTCAAGGAAAATGTTCCATTAAATTAAAAAAGAAACACTATCTGATTGAAGGTAAAAGTAAAGATAAAAACAATGTTTTAGTTATCATGAATATAAATCTAGTGAATTAATAAGAAAAGCTGCATAGCAGAATTTAGAAGGGCAGTATTTAATACCAAACACAAGGACAGGTTGATATTCCAAGTTTAAAGGGATTTGAAGAAAACTTTTCACACATAAGTTAAAAAGTGTTAAAATACAGTTCGGTATTTTTAAATTCCCCACTTGTTGTGATATAGCCACTTACAAAGAATTCAATATGTGTTGCTGGTAAATTCTAATAATTTAATGGACTAGAAGTAAATATTACTGAATTATGAAAAAAAACTCCCAAAATTCTTTGACAGTAAATAATATATTAAAAAGCAAACAGAAAATAACTAATCTAAGTAAGATTAATTGGGGACTTTGTTGGACAGGAAGCTGGGAATTTTTCCCTCAAATTCCTAAAACTGCATAAATATCATTAGTTCTGTCTTACTTTAAACAACTTCTCAAAAGACAAGAGATATGGTTGTTTTTGATGGCAATAAGTTTCAATCTCACTAAAAACACTTGTGAAATTTATAAAAATGGGATTATAATGTGTTTCATTCCATTATCAGAGCAAACCATTAAACTCTAGCCTGTAATAAAAGTTTAAGCATGAAGAATTATGATTAGTATAATTGGCAGAAACCTTTTAACCTAATTACAAATAGGATAATAGAGTCCAACAAAAAAATCCACCACTAATTTAATGAAGCTTTCAAAGAAGTATATATGCTTATTTGCTTTCTTTATCAAAACACACTTTGGGATGCTATTTAATATGGAACAAAGGAGGTAATCTTTTCATTTTCCTTCAACATTTAATGTACACCAGTCCCTGAGTATCATGGAGAAAGCTGAAACAAATTGTAAACTATCGACATGAAACAAAAAAATCATGAATTTTAATACATGTACCTCGTTTTTATATTTGAAAGCGAACAAAAAAAGTCTTGACAAGCCTTTTCTTTCATTTAAGACTGACACCAACACTTAGTCCGAAACACTTCTTCACTATATAAGAGTTATAGCAACAACCGTAGCCTGTAAGGTAAAGAGTTGCTGAGTACGTGAAATATTTATAAGCTAGTTATACATTTTTAAAAGAGTAGATAGAAATTCAAAGCCAGATAGAAATTCAAAGGCGTTCCTTCTTTAACTGGTGGTCTGAGTCTTTGAAGAAACTTGTGACTGGAAAGCATAGTAAGATCAAAATATGATTAATCTACCAAAAAAAGCAGTGATGTTCGGTAATGATAAAAACTCACCACTAAACTTAGAGGCAAAACTTCAGGTGGAAAACTAATACTCCTGCAACCTACTCAAATTATTTAGCACATGAAGTGGGCAAAACATCTGTTAGAGACTCTATTCTATTTAAAGGAAATGAAAGCAAAGCTCCCTTTTGAATCAGAAATCTGGTTTGAGAGGGCAAATCAGACTATCATCAATTATTTACCTAAAACATTTTGGTAGACAGTTTTCTTCAAATATGTTGCAGGACCTCATTCATAACATCATGAAAGTCTTCTGCCTCATGAATGATGGCGGCAATTATTATTTCCCAGGGAATACAGAGTCATTGGATAGTTCACACATTTTGTGGGCAGTTGAATCAGCAACACTAAACCAGAGCACAGTCTGAATACTGGATGCCATTAGAAGTGAAGAAACACTTGTGTGGTCTGAAGTCCCCTGATTTAGTATAAATAAACACAATTGAAGAACAAGTTCATCCCAAATTTTAAGTTTGAGAAAGACGGGAGTTTCCAGGATGATCTAAACTGAACAGAAGCCATCTTTAAAAGCTGTTCCAATATGAACTGAAATCTCAGAAAAGGAAGCAAGTGATGTCACCATGGTGACAAGAGTTTCCGGCTGAGACTCCAGTCAGACTTTTGACATGATCCACCCTGGGCCCCCAGTGCATCACTGCTTCTTGACCTGCTTTGAGATCTAAGGACCCAAACCTGTGTCCAGAATGTAGAGCCACTTGCAAGACACTCAATAATCTGCATTTTGTCACAGCAGATATAGCTTACAAGATAGAAGTGAAGTAATTTGCTAATCTTTCTAACAACACAATTGACGAGGGAGAATCTAATGGTCTTTTGCCAGCTAATATTAGACATCGATCCCAGTATGTGTTTTTTTTTTTTATTTGAAGGATAACATGCATACAGTCCACTGCATAAAGAGCATCAAACTTAGGTTCATGATTTTTTAAAACAAGGGTGCGCTTGTGTAACCACCAACAAAATTACGATATAGAACATTTCTGCATCTCATAAAGTCCCCTTTTTGGTCAACAGTCATACACCTTCACAGCCAGGATGAACTTCTATCCTAAATTTTATCATTATGAACTGGTTTTCTCTAGATCATAAATTGGCCTCTATTTTTCTCTGAAAGTCAATGACAACAGTGCTTTTGGCACTAAGCTAAAGAAAGGATTGTTTGTTCCATGATACTGTTTCCAGTTAACCTTGCCGTTTGGGTCCTCTCCCAAATTAGACATGGTGTTACACAGTCTTCCTCCCCAGTTTGCTGATGGAGGTTCTGTTCAGGGCACCTTCTCCACTTCTCCAAGAAGAAGAATACTTGAGCCCCTATGCTTTTTGTCTGCCCAGATCTGAGAAGTTCAGGATGGGTCCTGTGGGGAAGCAAACTGCTAATATTGGTGTGGAACTCTATTTTATTTATCTAGTTATTTATAACTAGTTATCTAGTTATTTATAGATTTACTTATTTTAGAGAGAGAGAGCAAGGCGGGGTGGGGGGAGGCAGAGGGAGGGAGAGTCCTGAAGCAAACTCCCTCCTGAGCACAGAGCCCCAACGTGGGGTTTGATCCCAAACCCTGAGATCATAGCACACGCAGAAGAGACAGCAGCTTAACCAACTGAGCCACCCAAGCGCCCCTATATGGAGCTCTATTTTAATGAGGCCAAATGACGAGTTTTTTTCCCTATGGTCGTAACACTAAAGCGTGTCCAAATTCTAAATGTCACAGACCAATACAAACTTAAACACCTGTCTTCATCCATTCCTACCACCTCAAGGTTAAATAAATAAATGAATCACCTGGCAATTGTTTCTCATTAACACTACATGTATACACAAACTTTATGAGCTGATTATTACTGCAAATGGTTTATGTCAAGGTCCAAAGGACCATTACTTGGATGCCCATGTTCCTTCACCAGTTTGTTCTGGCTTTTTTTTTTTTTAATCCCTCTCCAAGAACTCATTCAGGCTATGCTTGAATTCTCTTAATAGTGGGGAATTTACTATCACCAAAGGAAACTCAGTCCTTTCTTCAAATTTATTTTTTAGAGATTTAAAAATTCTGAAAAATACACCCCCACATACACACAACTTACATGAATTCGGGAGAAATAATCCATTCTAATCTACTGTGAATTATATAGATGTCACTCCAACTTTAGTATAAGTACAATGAGAGTACTTACTCAAATCTCTGTGCAGCTGTTATAAACTCCTTATAGCAGACCCTTTTTCTTGTCCTTCCCATTCATATGTCTTTAGAATAGTATGAATTGTTTTCATAATGGCCCCTCTAATATTTGAAAATACCTATCACAGATCTTGACCCATACCTACACTCAATCTAAGACAGCATAGTATTATCAAACTAAATGAATGCAACTATGAGAACTCCAATAATTTATGGATTAATAAAGATGAGGAATAAGAACTCTGATAGTCTTTGAAAAAAAATGGTATCTAATGAGGGAGAAGTCTAGAAGGCAATCATGCAAAAAGAAAAAAGAAAAGTGATAGTAAAAAGACAGTAATTTATGATTTTTTAAAAACAGATTTTTCCACACATTATTACATCTTATGCACAATACTACAGTTTCCAGACTAATGCAGGATAAATAGCAAATATCTACATTTTAATCTAGCAGATAAGTGGAATTAGAACATTTTTACCTGGAAATAATATAGAAAACAGGTGATTTAAAATCAAAACCAAACATTTTAGAATTCTGTAAATATTTTCTTGTTTGTAATATTAAGTAAGCTACAAAGGGATTCACACTGTCAAAAGTATTTGGATGTTTTTATACAAAATATTGGGAAATCAAAGCTTCATTAGATATTATACTGCCCTTAAGCTCATAAATTAGTTTGAATGTTCTGCTAGTATGTAGAATTAACCCATTAGTTCTCAAAGTATATGGTCAGAGAAGCAGCATTAGCTAATCTGGGAACTTAAGAGACATGCAAATTCTGAAGCCTCACTCCTGCCAACTCCTGAATCAGAAACTCTGGAGTGGGGCCCAGGAATCTGTCTTTTAACAAGCCTTCCAGGTGGTTGTGGTAGAGCCTGGTCTGTGGTAGAGTAAGGACCACTGAATTAAACCTAGACACAGCAGTAGGATTGATAAAAAGAGACAAAATATTCTCAGCAATTACAAGGTACCCTCATAAGTATCTGAGGAAGGGAGAATATGCCTTGAAACTGGTAATTATGCTTCAAAACTGGTATCTATGTTTATCTTTTTATGAGTAGAGAATATCTAGTTCTTTTTACCATTTATTTTTCTTTTGGAGCTTATAATTTTTTAGCTCTTTGAACAGTTTAACTTGCTTTCAAAAAATATATTTTTGTAGAATCATTTATTTTGCCTGAATTATCCAATATTTTCATATAACTTCTATCAGCTGTCTTCCGCATTCCTTTTTCTCTGGCTTAGGAGTTAAGTGAAGGCAACAGTGAGTAGGGAAAATTCAGGAGATCATTGACCCTCTGAATTCAAAAGTAACAAATACTATGAGAAAAAAATGAAATGGCCTAAATTTAAACATGGGCTGAGATTTTCATTCTCTTGCAGATGCGCAGAACCAAAGAAGTAGAGGTTTGCCTGGCTTTCTTCCTGGAGCTCCAGACCCTGACCACAATTTTCAGGTCTCACTTCCCAACCCAGGGAACCAAGTGTGGCAGCCAGTTCTCCCTCCACCAGGCAGTCTCCCTCCTGGTCTAGAATATTTAAGCCAGGTGTTTTTATCTCTTTATTTCTACACACGTTCACCCCTTAAAATGAATACAGACTTGGTTTCTTGCTTTTCAACCACAGTTGAAGAACTTCAACAAATCACTTACCAAAATGAGAAAAGCAGTATAAATTATGAAATTATGAAAAAAGTTATCTCTATTATTTAGAAACAAATGTATTCTTTTTTATTCCCACTTCTATTATCCTTATTTATTTGGCAGAGTGATGACACTAAACATTTTTGATGGAGCTGTTTAGCACATTTATCCTCCTTCTGCTCATGGCTCAAGGTATAAGCAAATGTATCCTCAAGGAATTGTCCGACACATCTAGTGACCTACAGCTATTTAATTAAAGAATATTTACTGAGTACTTGCTATCATCAAGACATATAAAAAGCATAAAACCTAGGTCCTCTCACCTAAACATTCTGCAACCTAATCGGCTTGCAAAAAATGTTGACAAAAAGTGCAAGGCTATGTACTAAAGCCAGATAAACACACCATCATAATGTGTGCAGGTGCGTAGAGGAGAGAAAGGTTGTTAAGGATCTAAGTACACAGGAGAGACGTCAGTAATGATCTGAGAACTCAGCGTCTTCAACTGAATCTCAAAAGGTAGCTATAAAGGCAAGGGAAAGCAAATTACCAAGTTAACATCATTGTCTTTTATACTGTTGCTTCTCCAGGCTGATTTGCTTAAAAGATTATATTAGTATTAGATATAGTCATTGGAGCGTGAGCAGTGATTCAATCCTTATAATAAATCAATCAAGAAATACCATCATCTGAATTATGTGGCACATAAAGAGCCAAATATATATATATATGTATGTATATGTATACATATATATACATATATATGTATACATATACATACATATATATGTATACATATACATACATATATATATGTTGCTTTTCTATTTTATCCTGCAAAAGATTAGAAATACGCTAATATTGAGATGTCAGCACATCTGCTGCTATTTTCAGCTTCTTTGGCATTCTTTCAAACTATAAAGTCTATCTCCTTTATCAAAATCAAATCTCTGTGTTAATTCCCTTAAGGTACCAGAGATTTCTGTTATGCCGGATAGGGTTTAAGCTGCAAGCAGCATATGTTCCTGGGAAAACGTTTATAATTGCAGATGCCTTCTCCAGAAACCCACTGGCAGACAAATGTACTTCAGAGACTGGAGAGCTCAGGGAGATATGTAAAAGAGCTGGAAAAGCTAAGCTACCATCTTCCATCTGCAGAAAGGATCAGCTGTAACAGCTGACTAGAGTTGATTAACTGCTGCAAGCTGTTTGGGAATGTTGTCAGACAAGGTTTTGCCAAGTATAAAAGTGATATACCAGTGCCAGAGGGCTGAGGTTTGATGATCACATATGGTCATCACATATTCTTCTTCCATCCATGAATGATGACACACCCGGAGCCAGATGCTTGACATGAATACATTTCTTTTTTTACGTTCCATAAATAGAGATATGAACCCATTGGCTTCAGTTCTAAAATGAAGTCAATTTTCCAGACATATACCTTTGGTAATCTTTTCCAGAAAATAAGAATAGGCCACAAATTGGTGGACAGTTTATTTCAAAGGGAAGGGTAATTTATTCACCTTATCCTCAAAGAATACTTGCTTACTTTAAAGCAGTGTACTTATAACAGGATAAATGAGCATTTTGAATGTTTTATACCACAAGTCTGTAAGATAGATAGATATAGATATAGATATAGATATATAGATATAGATACAGATAAAATGAATTTTGTGTTAAATTTTATCTAAAAACCATAAGAATGAAATAAAATCATGAATATTTGAAAATAGTACATCCTCAATAAACAGGAAAATATACAAAATATACAAAAAAATCCTTCTAAATTAAAAAAATCAAAGTTAAAATGTAAAAACTCATTTATTTTCCTTTAATCA